CCTATAAATCAGGTGGAACCATTTACCTGCCTTGATTAGCTTACGTGACCAGGTGTGCCTTTAAATTAAGACCGGTGTGGCGTCACTTAAGCACTTAGGAAAAATTTATGCAAAAATACGAGTTTGTGAATAATTGTTTTATATATATTTTGGTTGTGTGAATGTTGAGTGTGTGGGTGTGTGGGTGTGTGGGTGTGAGTGTTGAGGTGTGGGTGTGGTGTGTGTGTTGGAGGTGTGGGAGTGTTGGAGTGTGGGTGTGTGTGTGTGTGTTGAGTGTGTGGGTGTGAGTGTTGAGTGTGTGGGTGTGTGGGTGTTGAGTGTGTGGGTGTGAGTGTTGAGTGTGTGGGTGTGAGTGTTGAGTTGTGTGTGTGTGTCTGGGTGATTGGTCCCTGTATAAGTGTTTATAAAGTACACTCTGATTATAAAACACTTGTGGTAAATGGAAGAAGATGATAAAGACGGAGATAAAATATAAAATTGCTACCTTTTATCACCTCTCTCTCTCTCTCTCACCATGTACACCGCGTACCTTGAGGCCCCAGTCATTACAACCTCATTACACAATTCCACTAATTAATTAATCAAACTAATCCTGTACTTGAGGGACAGGTAGAGGTGACAGATCCTTCCTACCATTACTGTCTAATTGCACCTGTCAATATTTACGACAGGTGTGCTATGTTATTAATGACAAGCTAAAGGTACACGTTATACATCCTCTGTAATTGAATATCGCTTAAAGAGTTGTATAATCATTGGTTATTATCCTCATGTATAATTAGTTTAATTATACATGTTTATGGTAATTTGATGATAATTTCAATGAGATGAGTATGTAGTTTTTTTCTCTATATAAAACTAAAGAATGAACGAGTTAGTTTATCTACAGTATAGTAAATTAAGTCAACCACATGTATTTATGAATCACAAGTTACGAGATAAGAGATGATGTGTGTGTATCTCTCTCAGCGTCTCTTGGACTTGTATATCTCTCTCAGCGTCTCTTGGACTCGTATATCTCTCTCAGCGTCTCAAGTTACTCCTTTCATAATTTAGAGCATCGAGGGCAATAAAAATCCCCAGCTGAAAGATTAAGTAGAGTCAGAAGAAGAGTTGAGAGTTGTGTAAAGAGGGAGAGAGATACAAAGACTCATTTTTTTTATCTCTCATTTTAACAGAGACGGCGGCGAGAAATGTGCGTCGCGGCGTAAACAAGAAAAGAGTGGAAACCGTGATGGCAGCAGCGGGGAGCGAGGAAGGGGCGCTGCTGCGTCTCATAGTCTAGTTCCCCCGACGCTCAATAGATGGCAGTGGTGTTGACGCTCCTCTTTAGTTCCCCCGACGCTCAATAGATGGCAGTGGTGTTGACGCTCCTCTGTTGTTTCTCTTGTCTATACTGCTCCTTCATAAGCTCTATAGGAGAGACGAGTTTTCCATGTCTTTACGGTGAATGGATGCTGTTGACAGGTACAATAACACCTGAGTATTTTTACTTTATTTTGTTTATCTTCTCACGGTTAGCTAAAGGTGTTACTAATTGAGGTGTTATAATATCTCCCGGGTGTCAACAGATGGCGTAGTTTCTTATATTATATTAATGAAAGTAATTTAAGAAACACATTAAGTAATACAAAGATAAACGGAGATGATGTAACAAAACCAGCAGGTGTTAAGATTAATTAAGATAGAAGGACACGACCTACCTGTAATTAATGATTCAGTAACACCTGTATAAGACAATACATCGATACAGATAGAACCATAATATTTGCTGTAGTCTTATATATATTTACTCTTCTAAGTGTGAGTCCCTCTGTATATTTTTCTTTATGATGCTTCACTGTTTCACTACTTTGAGGAAACGACCCAAGGTTCGTAAATTCATATGACAGGAGTGAATGGTTGGTAACACTGACAGGAGTGAATGGTTGGTAACACTGACAGGAGTGAATGGTTGGTAACACTGACAGGAGTGAATGGTTGGTAACACTGACAGGAGTGAATGGTTGGTAACACTGACAGGAGTGAATGGTTGGTAACACTGACAGGAGTGAATGGTTGGTAACACTGACAGGAGTGAATGGTTGGTAACACTGACAGGAGTAAAGTCATTCAGCTCAAGCTTTTATGTTATGTGCGTCTTTATATGATCTTCCTTGATATAGTAAATTTATAATATAGGGTCAATAATAAATGTTTGAAGCTTTACGAGCGTAATATGAAGGGGAAGCTTTATGAAACCTGAAGCTTAAGAGCGTAATATGAGGCTTGACGCTTACGAGCTTCTTCAAATGGTTAAATCATCGTCCTTAAGAAAGGTTAATTCTACTTTGACCAAAATATTTGTATCGTTGCTTAAATGGATCAGTTAAACACATTCTCACATCACCAGTTAGAAGAAAATTTCAGGTTATTTAAAATCAGTATTTTTGAGAGCCTGAACAGAGGTTGGTAACAGTGTACGACCCCCCGTCACCTGAGACACCTGAGACACCTGAGACACCTGAGACACCTCCCTCCACAACTCCACATAAGTATATACTCATAAGAAATTCTAATTAAATGTCTGTTTCGATTATTTTTTCTACCGGATAAGAGAATAAATTTTAATTCCCCCAAGAACTAATGAATGACCCTGTTGCCTTGCCATACCTAACAGGAAGCTTGGAAATGCCTCGTTCCCACATTATAAAAATGAATTGGTGATAGGAAGACCAGGTTAGGTTAGGTTAGGTTAGGTTAGGTTAGGTTAGGCTAGGTTAAGGTTAAGGTTAGGTTAGGTTAGGTTAGGTTAGGTTACACATTTTACTGTCACATAACCTTACTTCGTTTCTCTACGGCTCCAGATCCTCGCAAAAGTTTTACTCCACTTTTAAACTTAATCCTACCGGTCTTCTCTTCACTTACGACTTGATAATAATTACATCTTGATTGAATGTCCTCGTCAAATTAATCTCCTCTTCCTCCTTCTTCGTCGCCTTCTGCAGGTTTAATTGCTCCCTCGTATAATTTATCTATATGAGTCACAATAACATTAAGAATATCGGTTCAAGGGAGATATTAATGATTTTGTTTATTTATTAACTCAAGGTAATCCATTCATACACCTGCCGTTCCCCCCTCCCCTCCCACTCCCACCCACACACCTGTGATGACCCCCTCCCTCTCTCCCCACACCTGAGATGACCCCCTCCACCCCTCCCACCTTCTCCCCTCCCACACACCTGAGAGATGACCTCATCTCTCTCTCCTCCCACACCTCCCCTCCCACACCTGAGATGACCCCCCCTCCCCTCTCCCTCCCACACACCTGAGATGCCCCTCTCTCCCTCCCACACACCTGAGATGACCCCTTCCCTCTCCCTCCCACACACCTGAGATGACCCCCTCTCTCTCCCTCCCACACACCTGAGATGACCCCTTCCCACCAGTCTCTACCAAGATGGAGGGAAACTACTCACAATAAAATCCAGGTCTGTCTCAAAAATGATAACCTGAAGTCGTTTCAAATTTTACTACTCCATATAAAGTATAATTTTATTACTTCCTGTTATAACAATTCACTTTCTTCCGTTCTTTTATATCTAAGTTAATTTGTGTTTGTTTGTTTGTTATGTCTTTGTTATGGTGAGTCGACAAACACACCTACAACTAGTTTTTAATTAATTCTCTTCACACCTTGAGATTAAATTTCCCCACACTATATATTTTAACCTTCAGAAAATACTCTACAACTTTTCGGTTTAATTCATGTTAAAAAAAAATATATCGTCAATTTTCTATATATGCAAATCTATATATTATTTGTTACTGTATAATTGCAATATTCATATGAAATTACATTTTTTAGATTAATTTAATTTTCCAACTGACAGATTAAATTTTCTACTTATGGTCCAGTATAAAAATAACAACACCGGAATATACATATACATATAGAATAAATTTGTATGTATGTATGTATGTATGTATGTATGTATGTATGTATGTATGTATGTATATATGTATGTATGTATTCATATATAAATAAATATAAAATTAGCTGATATTGAGCACACGGTGAATTTGTTGCCATGGCTCATATTCTCTTAAACCTTCAACTATCAAAATGTTCAGGTTAGGTTAGGTTGTTAGATTAGGTTAGGCTAGGTTAGGTTAGGCTAGGTTAGTTTAGGCTAGGTCAGGTTAGCATTGAAGAGGAAGTCCTTCTAACAATTCAACATGTTCATAAGAAATTCCACCCAAATTTGTATAGTTTTAGACACGATCTTTCACAGTAGTATTCAAGGACGAGCTTCAACATCTTACCCTTCACATAGTACATATTTGACCCGTCCTCAGATCAAGAAGAAGGACGACTTGAAAATATCCCTTCTTTAAACTCTCTCTCTCTCTCTCTCTCTCTCTCTCTCCATTATTAACCATTTTCCTTATCCAAACTTTAAGAATTATTCACCATTTACTAACGAAACTCACAAAATATCTGCCAAATTTCCCGGGAAAACTGTCCAACTTCTGAGATCATCGCCACAGAAATTCACAAAATCACGGACTCTTCACCGACAAAATCTCCCGAAATTTATCTTGAATTTTTCTTCCGATGATAATTTGGCTACACATCTTTTGTCTTCTTCTTCGTCCTCGTCGTCGTCTTCTACAGGTTGGTTATTGAAGCTTCTCCCACACGGTATATTAAAGATTATCTCCCCTCCCCTCCCCCTCCCCTTCCCCTCCCTCTATCAGTCCCGCCACCACAACACCATACCCTCAATATCACATCACCATCCCATCACTGCACCATCACAACACCATCACTCCACATTACCATTAACACCATCACGCCGTTAGTAATTTCATAACTCCGACCACAATTATTCCACTCCTCCACCACGCTACCACCACCACTACCACCACCATCATCCCGCTACCAGCACCATCTTCACCCCTCATACGCCCCCCCCCCCCACCAAGGCCCCAGTACACGCAGTTATGGAGCCGAGATGCGTATCAGTAGCGACCCATCGAGGGAGGAGGAGGAGGGCATTGAGAACTGTGAAAGGTGAGTGACAGGCGGAAATAAATTAAAGAGGTATGTAAGACGTTGTTAAGTAAGGTAGGCGGTAGAGTCTCGCAGGTAAACAAACATTGGAGAAACGTTTTCCCTCGCCAATGAAGAAAACGTTTCCTAAAATGGTCTTCTTTGAGGTGACGCGAGGAAACTATCTAACATTTGCTTGTAATAGTTGGAGAAAGATTTTTTTTTACGGATATGAAGAAAATAATTGGTAAAGAAAGATATAAAATAATGTCTGTCTCAATGGGATACACATAATGAATAACAGAACAAGTGAATAAACAATAAGGTTTATACAGACAACTTAAATAACTACACCAAGATCATTAAAGTCTGTCAACACTTACCTTACAGCCAAACAACAGTCCTACACACACACACACACCAATCATCTCTTATCTGTGTGTCTCATCACTTACCTGATACCCAAGTGTCCTCCGGCAGCCCTGATGTAGAGGGAGTCCTCAGTGCTGAGACTAGCTGAGATAGGCCAGGCAATCTGAAGGAGCGACTCCCTGATGATAGAGTCCCACCCGGAGCTGTGGTCAAACACATTCTCGGATCTCATCAGCTTCGGTTTCCGGCGTAAGGTCCGTCCGTTCAGCTTGGTTCCTGAGCACGTATCCATTGTGTCACTGTTTCGTTCACTCGTTTGTAAATAAAACTAAGAAATTTATCACTCTCTAATTTCTTTTAACTCTCACCAATTCTTCATCAAATTTCTCAAGTCTGTTTTTCTTCTTATTTTCTTAGAAGGTTTAATGAATCCCTTAAATGAATCGGTTTATTTTTGAGATTATATTGAAATAATTTTTTTTTGGGGTGGCTAAAATGTCATGACTATTTTCAATGTCCTGAGTTTAATTTTTTTTTAAGTATAACTATAAATTATTTCAATATGTCATCATCACATAAATCATTAAACTTCAACAGCGTTTTATCTCTATTTCATAACACTACGACCTTTTTTTAACTATATTTTTAAAGGGTATTTGTACATAATAACAGCCAAGATCAATCAATTTAATCTTTTTCAATTTCTATAATATTTCAGTCACAGTTGTATTTTCTCCAAAGTTACACCAAAGTTATTATTATCAAAGTACTCCACTACTTTTTGTCAACAATATCAAATTTTAGATTAACTTTCAAGTGTTTTTCTATTGTTTGCTTATCTCAGACATGTATATAATTTTCTCTTGCATTCTATTTTGGATAGATTATATGTTTTTATCAATTGTGAGTTTATTCCCGGCTGTAAGCGACGTCAGCAGTGTAAGTGTCTGAAGAGAATGTTTACAATTTCTTTACTGTCATCTCACCTCATTGTCTGGTCGTCTTTACTGGACACACACACACACAACACCTCACATCACCGTCATCCCAGACAGCTACTAATGTACTGCCCGCAACCTATCGAAGGCTTAGTGTGTTGTGGTGTTGAAGATATAAATATGAACTTTACCCACCTCTTATCGCACTGAGGAGAACTCATAATATCATTGAAAATAACAAAATATTCTCAGGTAGTCTACGTCATTGATGAAAGAGAATGTCCAGATATTATATAACAAACTTTTAAAATATCAATAAACTCGTGTTACCTAGAAGTATGTGATTGATTAGACGTCTTTTCGTGGATGACTTCAAGACTTATCCAATGGTCCTGACGGTATAGTAATGGGCGTTCACTCCCCCCCACCCTTGAATCAGGAGAATTCTCGTCACATACAGAAGCAGCATCAACTCATAACTCTCCAGAAATCATAGGATTATACTTTATAATTTTTCTTTAATGTCGTTCCTCTTAAGAAAGTTTTAAAACCTTCATAAAAGTCACTTATTCAGATCTATAAATGATACTTTCTAACTTCGTCTTTTTTTCCAATTATTTCACACACACAAAAAAATATATATTGTTACGTGTTCCTGTCAATCACTTGTGGCATATAACACAAATCTAAATTCCTTGTTCTTTACGATAACTTCCAGTGGGTGACTTTGTGCATAGATCACTGCATAGCTGTAAATAAACTGAATTCAATCCACGGGGTATAATCTTTAACACAAACACATTTATCTTATCACACGACGCAGATAACTACGTGAATAAAAAAAACACAAAACATGAAAGAGATAACGAGATACGAATGTTGTTTTTTTTTATTGCTGTTGTTTTAAGGTCAGTTTTAATATGTCGTAGATATTGTAATAGAATTTAATTACTTGTAGCCGCCATAAAAGCCTTGATGCTTGTGATGGGTTAAGACTTGTGGGTTAAGTAGGACCTGATTCCTTGTTACAGAGATGATAAATAACCCTCGTTGCTGCTCGTTGGTCACCACACTAACCCGACATCAAGGGAGTATGACTGAAGAGGATATTTATTTTACCTTTCACTAATTAAAATGATGTTGAAATCTCAGACTGGTTCACTATTAACTATTTATAATACTAAATATGAAGATTAATGGTACTTGTTGATTACTTGTAGTTGTGTTGTAGTTTTCTTAAATAGCTGAAGCGGTGATGAGTGTCTTGTAGAAATAGATGTAGACTTAATGAGACGACTTGACAAACACTGGGAAGATTCAGAAACTAATCCCCTTGAGAAATAAAATTAATCCATTTGAGTGATTTGAAGGCAATTCTGAAAGCAGAGTCTATGACCCTTGGGAGGTGTGGGTGGAATGGGGTGGTAAGAGGTCACGTTTAAACAGGTGGTAACAGCTTAGTGGCTTTAATATCCCCCCCCCCCCCTTCCCCAAATCAGGTCACGACACTTTGTTATTCACGTCACACTTTACGATGTCATGCTATTTTCACCAACTTTTAAGATTTTTCACAATGTTAGATATTGTTCTGTTTTGCGATTTTTTTTTCTATTTTAAGAATGAATATAGTCACTTTTATAGGTAGACTCATGAAATATTACAAAAACTTTATATTTTCTCCCAATCTGTTTATTCTCACTCTTCTGTTATATTCATATCCACTATTAATTCTTTTTTTCCTTCAATTATCACATTAACCATTGATCATTGTCCTCTTCCACACGTAACTTATGAAATTTCGTCTTGAATTTAAATAAAGTTGTATTTTAGTAGTTCGTCTCGTCGCCGCCAGGTCCTCTCCCACACACACAGAGGCGGGAGGGTGGGTGGGCGGGCGGGAGGGAGGAAGAGAGGCAGGCAACGAGTATTTTCACCCTGGGACTCTGTGTTGGGAGGTGATGGCCGATGTTATCTTGATTTTGTACTCGTGTCTATTTTGAGTCCTTGGTTAGAGTGATATCTAAATACGACCTGCAGGGTGACATTGATACATTAAAGATTTATTTGATATATATTCAGTATATTGATGACCATTCGCGTTTTATATTGCATTTGAGTTTGATGCTATAGATTCACGCTCGTAGTTAGAATGATACCATGTTACAATTTATCCTGCGTATATTTTCTCATCTAAATATTCTCCACAGGTGACATGACAGGTGTTTTACCTGCGTGTCCTCACAGGTGTTTCCTCACTCCACTTTCTATCAAAACTCGAGACTGAAATAGAAAAAAAAACGTTATTATTTATTAGTCTAGTTATTTATACATATTATCGTCATCATCACCTTCATCATCATCATCATCATCATCATCATCATCATCAAGGGATAACCGGACTCTAGAGAGATGAAGGATGACGACTGTGATTGGTGGATGGTCATGATCCCTCTCAGCCAATTACGTGATGTTATTCTGTGAGGGATTGAGGAAAGGCCATGTGAGAGGGGAGAGAGGGACAAGGGGAGACAGTGAGAAGTGAGGGGGAGAGAGGGGAGAGATGAAGAGGAAAGGAAGAGGTAGTGGAGATAATAAAGATGAAGGCGAGAGGGAAGAGATGATGGAGAGAAGGAGAGAAACAAGGAAACAGAATATGATTAAGAGAGAAAAAATGAGGAGGAAAAAGATAATGAGAGAAAACAGATGAAGGGAAGAATAAGGGGAAGGAAAGATGATGGGAGAGGAGGAACCGAGGATGAGGGGTAATATGAGGAAGTGAGAGAAAATGTGGGGAGACTGAGGAAAATATCGAGAGGAGAGAGATAGAAGAATACGTGGATGAAGGAGGTGATGGAGAAGGGGAATAACGGCTGGAAGAAAGAGAGGAGGGAGAGAAAGAGAAAAAGGAAGAGTGGAGGAGAGAGAAGGAAAAGAAAGCAATATCAGTTAATAATTTATGTTAATGTGTATTAGAGGATTGTCTTCTATAAACGTTGTTACATCTCACTTCTGTATTTAAACGCTGAATTAACCTAACCTAACCTAACCTTCATACAAAATTAGCATACACAAGTACCTGTATTTGGTTTACTGTCATTTTTGCCTCACACACACACACACACACACACACACACACACACACACTAATAATAATAATAATAATAATAATAATAATAATAATAATAATAATAATAATAATAATAATAATAATAATAATAATGCGACAAAAGAAACTTTCCATGAATATCCTGAATTGAACCGGTGATGAACAGGACCAGGACGGGTTACATCAGGAGTTATCTGTGACGTCTCTGTGTTACTGACGACTAAAACTGTGTTATATTATAATCTCTCTCTCTCTCTCTCTCTCTCTCTCTCTCTCTCTCTCTCTCTCTCTCTCTCTCTCTCTCTCTCTTACAAGATCCAGGCACAGAAAGATTTTAGGATTGGTGTCACTGCCTGTTGTGTGGGGAGGGGGGAAAGAAAGAAAAAAAGAAGGAGAGAGAGAAGATAGGGAACAAAGGAGGTGAAAGAAAGAAAGAAAGAAAGAAAGAAAGAAAACAAAAAAGTACAAAAAACAAATATTAACTTCATTATAGATCACAATAACCTGTACCACCATAATCATCTACCTCCCAGGTGTGTTGGTCCATCTCATTACCTGTAGATTTACCTTCAATAAACACCCCAACTTAATATCTAATCTACTAA